CTAAAATAAATTGTTAAATCCTTTGCCCATTTTCAAATTGAGTCATTATTTTTTTTAATGTTGAGTTGTAGGAGTTCCTTATGTATTATGGATATTAACCCCTTATCAGAGATATGATTTGCAAATATTTTCTTCCATTCCATAGGTTGCCTTTTCAATCTGTTGATTGTGTCCTTTGATGCACAAAAGCTTTTACATTTGATTTAGCCCAATTTATTTTTACTTTTGCTGCCTGTAGTGTTGGTGTCAAATCCAAGAAGCCATTGCCAAATCCAATATCATGAAGATTTTCCCTCTACGTTTTCTTCTGCTTTGTAACTTTAGGTCTTACGCTTATTTTTTTTTTACCCACTCTGAGTTAATTTTTGTATATGCTGTAAGATAATGGCCCAACTTCATCCTTTTGCATGGATCTCCAGTTTTCCTGACACTATTTGTTGAAAGACTGCTTTTTCCCCATTGAATGGTCTTGGCACCCTTATCAAAAATCATTTGAGGGGCATGTGGTGGCTCAGTCAGTTGAGCATCCAACTCTTGATTTTGGCTCAGGTCATGATCTTGGGGTGGTGGGATCAAGTTCTGTGTCAGGCTCTGAGCTCAGCAGGGAGTCTGCTTGGGATTCTCTCTCTCCATTTCCCTCTGCCACTCCCCCTGCTCTCTTTCTCTCTCTCTCAAATGGATAAATAAATCTTTTAAAAAAAAACATTTGACCATATATGCAGAAGTTTATTTCTGGGCACTCTACTCTGTTCCTTTGGTCTATATATGTCTTTATGTCAGTATTCTGTTTTAATTACCATTGCTTTTGTACTAGGATTTAAAAATGAGAAGTGTGTGCTTTCCAATTTTATTCTTCTTTCTCAAGACTGTTTTGGGTATTCAGGGTAACTTGAGACTCCATATGAATTTTAGAATGGATTTTTCTACTTATGCAAAAAATACTATTGGAATTTTAATAGGGATTGCATTAAATCTGTAGGTCAGTTTTGGTAGTATTGATGTCTTAACAATATTAAGTCTTCCAATCCATGAACATGGAATGTCTTTCCATTTATTTGTGTTTAATTTCTTCTGAACATTTTGTAGTGAAAATTACAAGTGTACAAGTCATCCACCTCTTTGGTTAAGTTTATTCCTAGTATTTTATTCTTTCGATACTATTGTAAATGGATTTGTTTTCTTAATTTCCTTTTTCTTTCTTTTTTTTTTTTTTATTTATTTGACAGAGAGAGAGACAGCGAGAGAAGGAACACAAGTAGGGGGAGTGGGAGAGGGAGAGGCAGGCTTCCCGCCGAGCAGGGATCCCAATGTGGGGCTCGATCCCAGGACCCCAGGATCATGACCTGAGCCGAAGGCAGATGCTCGATGACTGAGCCACCCAGGTGGCTTTCTATACACTGAGACAGAAGAAAGAGAAATTAAGGAACCAATTCCATTTACGACTGCACCAAAAACCATAAGCTACCTAGGACTAAACTTAACCAAAGAGGTAAGGGATCTGTACTCTGAAAACTATAGAACATTTATGAAAGAAGTTGAGAGTGACACAAAGAAATGGAAAAACATTCTATGCTTCATGGATTGGAAGAACAAATATTGTTAAAATGTCTATGTTACCCAGAGCAACCTACACATTCAATGCACTCCCTAACAGTTTTTTCATGTGTGTAATCTTTAGGGTTTTCTACATATAAGATTATATCATCTGAAAACAGATACAATTTTATTTCCTCCTTTCCAATTTGGATGTTTTTTATTATTTCTTTTTCTTGCCTAATTGTTCTTCGCTAAAAATCAGAGAAATATGTTGACTAGAAGTAGTGAAAGTGGGCATCCTTGCCTTGTTCCTGACTTTAGAGGAAAACCTTTTCGTCTTTCACTATTGAGACTATTACCTCTGGATTTTTCTTTGGCTTTTAAAAAATATATATTTATTTATTTGAGTAGGGGGAGGGGCAGAGAGCGAGGGAGACAAGCAGACTCCCCACTGAGCAGGGAGCCCAACATGGGGCTCAATCCTAGGACCCTGAGATCATGACCCGAGCCAAAACCAAGAGTCAGGCACTTAAACGACTGAGCCACCCAGGTGCCCCTCTGGATTTTTCATATATATTTTTTATCATGTTCAGGAAGTTTCTATCTATTCCATGTTTTTTGTATGCTTTTATCATGAAAAGGTGTTGAATTTTGTCAAATGCTTTTTCTGCATCAATTGAAATGATCATGTGGTGTTTTTCCTAGGATTCTGTTAATTTGGTATATTTCATTGGTTGCCTTTCATATGTTGAACGATTCTTACATTCCAGGAAAAAATTCCACTTACCCATAATGTATGTAAGGATGTAAGACACATCCTTTTAATGTGCTGTTGAATTCTGTTTGAGAGTATTTTGTTGAGGATTTTTGTGTCAATATTCATCAGGGATGTTGGTCTATAGTTTTCTTTCTTCCTCTCTCTCTCTTTCTTCCTTTTCTCTCTCCCTTTTTCTTTTTCTTTCTTTTCTTTCTTTCTTTCTTTCTTCTTTCTCTTTTTCTTTCTTTCTTTCTCTCTTTCCTTTTCTTTCCTTCTCTTTCTTTCTTTCCTTTCATTCGTTTGTTCATTCTTTTTGTAGTGTCTTTATCTGGCCTTGGTATCAGGGTAATGGCCTCAAAGAATGAGTTAGGAACTGCTACTGCCTCTTTAGTTTTCTGAAAGAATTTATGAGGACTTGGTATTGTTTTTTTCCTTCACCACTGTGCTATGGGTTAGCTTGTAGTGTTATTTTTTCATCACTTGGCTTATCAAACTTTGTCTCCACTCTCCCGTGTTCCTGACTTAAATTATTTGCTGCAATTGCATCTCCCTCCCTCCCTCCCTCCCTTCCTTTCTTTCTTTTGCATCATCTCTGTTTCCAATTGCAATATTTCCAGCACCTAAATATCTGATTATTCCTTTTCCATGATTGGTTTACAAAAATCCAAATCTTACCCTTATTGTAAGGAGTATAGAAAGAGCTGTTTGTCTGAAACCAAATTGAAAGAGTAATAAAGTTGGAAAACGTGGAGTGGTGGTTCATTATCTATCATATTCACCATGCCCTTTTAAAATATTTTAACATCCCTTTCATTCCTGGGATGAAATTCATAGATAAAATATCTATACTCATACTTTAAATAATTAATATAAGTGTGAGGGTAAAGAAAGGGAAAGTAATTTCTTTTTTTTTTAGGAAAGTAATTTCTAATAACAAGTATTTCAATTTGTAAATTCTAGGTCAAACTTCACTAGAAGACATAATAAAGAAGTAGACAGAGGCTTACGCCTACATGTAGAATTAAAGTCAGCGTGAAAGCTACAAATGTAGGTTGATACAAATCCATTTGTTGAAGAGACTGTCTTTTCTCATTGCATATTCTTTCTCATTGTGTCAAAGATAATTGACCATATATTTGTGGGTTTATTTCTGGGCTCTCTATACTGTCCCACTGACCCATGTGTCTATTTTTGTTCCAGCACCATACCATTTTGATTACTACAGCTTTATTTTTTTTTAATATTTATTTATTTGAGGGGCGCCTGGGTGGCTCAGTCATTAGGCATCTGCCTTCAGTTCAGGTCACGATCCCAGGGTCCTGGGATCCAGTCCCACATCGGGCTCCCTGCTCGGCGGGAAGCCTGTTTCTCCCTCTCCCGCTCCCCGTGCTTGTGTTCCTGCTCTCGCAATCTCTCTCTCTGTGTCATATAAGTAAATAAATAAAATATTAAAAATTTTTTTATTTATTTGAGACAGAGAGACAGCGAGAGAGCACAAGCAGGGGGAGCAGCAGAGGGAGAGGGAGAAGCGGGCTCCATGCTCAGTGGGGAGCCCAAAGCGGGGATCAATCCCAGGACCCTGGGATCATGACCTGAGCCGAAGGCAGACACTTAACTGACTGAGCCACCCAGGCACCCCACTACAGCTTTATAGTATAACTTAAAATCTGAAATTTTACCCCCTGCTTTGTTCTTCCTTCTCAAGATTGCTTTGGTTATGTAGGGTCTTTTGTGGTTGCATACAAATTTTAGTATTATTTGTTCTGGATCTGTGAAAAATGCTATTGGTATTTTGATAGGGATTGAATTGAATCTGTAGATTGCTTGTGTAGTATGGACATTTTAACAATATTAATTCTTCCCATACATGAACATGTAATATCTTTCCATTTATTTGTGCCATCAATTTATTTCATGAATGTTTTAAAGTTTTCAGAGTACAGGTCTTTCACCTCTTTGGTTAAGTTTATTCATAGGTGTTTTATTCTTTTTGGTACAATTGTAAATGGGATTATTTTCTTAATCTCTCTGCTACTTCATTATTAGTCTATAGAAATGCTACCATTTTCTGGGTATTAATTTTGTATCCTGCAACTTTACTCAATTCATTTAGTACTTCTAATAGTTTTTTTGGTGGAGTCTTTAAGGTTTTCTATATATAGTATCATGTCATCTGCAAATACTGACAGTCTAATTTCTTCCTGACCAATATAGATGCCTCATTTCTTTTTCTTGTCTGACTGCTGTGGCTAGGACTTCCAGTACTTTGTTGAATAAAAGTGGTGAGAATGGACATCTTTGTCTTATTCCTGATCTTAAAGGAAAAGCTCTCAGTTTTTCACTATGGAGTATAATGTTAGCTGTGGGATTTTTTTTCAAGATTTTATTTATTTATTTGAGACAGAGAATGAGAGACAGAGAGCATGAGAGGGAGGAGGGTCAGAGGGAGAAGCAGACTGCCCGCTGAGCAGGGAGCCCGATGTGGGACTCGATCCCAGGACTCCAGGATCCTGACCTGAGCTGAAGGCAGTCGCCTAACCAACTGAGCCACCCAGGCGCCCCAGCTGTGGGTTTTTCATATATGGCCTTTATTATGTTGAGATATGTTCCCTCTAAATCTACTTTGTTGAGAGTTTTTATGAACAGATGTTCATTTATGTCAGCAAACTGAGAATTTATTAATATATCCCCCTTCTTATTCTTATAGGACATTAACATGCAGCTGACTGACATAATGCTCAATGTGCAGCGGATAATAAATCGCTACACTCTTGATGAGAACGTGCACTCTGGAAGAAAAATCTCCCTTACAGAATATAAGAAACGGAGAGGAAATTTCCTGGAGAAAATAGTTACTTATGCTAAGAATGCTGAAATTAGAGAAAAGACTCTTGTGTACATCCTGGCCTGGTTGGAAGAATGGAGTGAGTTTCCAGAGGTGGTTCAAAGGAAAACCATTAAGTTAATGAAAAAGCTAGAGAACAGGATCTATAAATTTTAAAGGATTAATCAGACTAAAGAAGACTAATGAGGTTATTGAGAAAACAGTTATCCACTGTTTCAGTAAGAATAAAATAAGAAAAATATAGTCCTGCTCACTTAATGCCAGCCATTCTGGGCTCCTTGCTTTTCTTCAAGGAAGCCAGCATGCCCCTACCCAGTGTCTTTGTGCTTGCTATCCCTTTGCCTGGAACATTGTCCACAAGTAGCCACGTGGCTCATTCTCTGCTTATATCTCACTTTAAAATGATGTGTTCTCTGACCATCTCCATTCCCTACTCCTGGGCACTGTCCATTACTCTTTACTCTTTATTTTTGTCTGTAGCATTTCTTAACATCTAACATACTACATAACTAATTTTTGTCTGTCTCCTTTCACTAGAATACAAGCAGTATGAAGTCAGGGAATTTGTTTTATTTAGTGCTGTATCCTCAGTATCTAGAACAATACATGACAAAGGAGACATTGGTTAAATGAAAGAACGAATAAGCTTAGAATACAAAAAGGGGATGTCATTAAGTTGCAAGAAATAACATGTAATGAGGGTTTTAAAATACTAGATAACTTATGAAAGGAGTTAATTGGGTTTAGTTCCTCAATATTAAAACACATGCTCACATTTTTAGATACCAGAGTATTTTCATGTCCAAGATTTATTGTTCACCTTTCTATTCCAAGTCTCTTCCTTTTTCATTTCTTCATAGAGAAAAGCTTCAGAATAGCAGTAAGTGTGAGATATCTACATTCCCCAATACTACAATATGGAGTAGTTAGCCAATATTATAAGCCTATATGGTTATAATTATTTTTCTGCACAAAAGTATTTTTTTACTCTCTTCAAGATGCCATTTTGTCTGAGATGACTGCAGTGGACATTGAGGAACACCACCACTGGATAGCACAAATGGAGTTTTTACCAGAAACGTTCAAAGCTATTGAGAACAATGTCAAGATACTGAGTAGAATTAGTGTATCTTTGCTTGAAGAAAAGAAGAGACAACAGAAAAAAATAAGTAAGGGTGCTTTAAGACATTGGAAACAGATTTGACCTTTTCTAAAAAATGGCTTTATTAAGGTACAATTTACATACCATAAAACTCATATATGTTAAGTGTACAATTCAATGACTTTTAATAAATTTAGAGTTGTGTAACTCACCACAATTCAATTTTAGAACATTTCCTTCATCCCAAAAAGACCCCTCATGCCCATTTGCAGTCAATCCTCTTTCCCACCCCAGTCCCAGACATGCAACAATCTATTTTCTGTTTCAATAGGTTTGCCTTTTTTGGATGTTTCATAAGATGGAATCATATTATATGTGTTTATTTTTTTAAATATCTGGTTTCTTTTATTTAACATAATGGTTTTGAGATTCAGCCACGTTATAGGATGTATTAGTAGTTTCTTTCTATTACCAATTGTATCTCACTGTTTGCATATACCACATTTTGTTTACCTATTCACCAGTTCATGGACATTGGAATGTTTCTACATTTGACTTTTATGAATAATGCTGATATGAACACACATGTATAAGTCTTTGTGTGAACATATGTTTTCATTTCTTTTGGGTAGATACCCAGGAGTAGAATTTCTGGGTCATTTATCAATTGCTGGTAAGTTTATGCTTAACTTTTTAAGAAACTGTTAACTTATTGCCCAAGTGACCACGCTATTTTACATTCCCATCAGCAATGTATTAAGGTTCCGGTTTCTCCACATTCTCAACAACACTTGTTACAGTCTTTTTTAATATAACCTTACTAAGATGTGTGAAGTGGTATCCCACTGTGGTTTTAAATTGCATTTCCCTAAAGACTAATGATGTCGAGCATCTTTTCAGGTGCTTATTAGCCATTCTTATATTTATTTTGATGTAATGATTATTCAAATATTTACCCATTTTATTATTGAGTTTTAAGAGTCTTTTATGCATTCTGGATACAAGCCCTTTATCAGAAATATGATTTTCAGGGTGCCTGGGTAGCTCAGTTTGTTAAGCATCTGCCTTAGGCTTGGGTCGTGATCCCAGGATCCTGGGATTGGGCCTTGCATCTGGCTCCCTGCTCAATGGGTAGCCTGTTTCTCCTTCCCCCTCTGCTTCTCCCACTGCTTGTGTTCTCACTCTCTTGCTCATTCTCCCTCTCGCTCAAATAAATAAATAAAATCTTTAAAAAAAAAGATTTTATCTATTTATTTGACAGAGAGACACAGTGAGAGAAGGAACACAAGCAGAGGGAGGCACTCCAAATAGATAAAAATCTTAAAAAAAGAAAAAGAAATGTGATTTTCAAATATTTTCTCTCAATCTGTGGTTTGTCTTTTCACTTTCTTAATGGGGTCTTTGAAGCCTAATGGTGTTGGATTTTGATGAAGTCAAATCAATTTATCAATGTTTTCTTTTATGGATCATGGTTTTAGTGTTGTATTAAAAACTTGTATCAGTCAGTGTTGAACCAGAGAAGCAGAATCACTAGGAAATTATGTATTATCTAACTACCCGTTACAAAGTATTTTGGGGAATGTACTTTGTATTCTTTCAATCCTTTTAAATTCATTGTGATTTGCTTTATAGCTTACCATATGGTCTATCCTGGAGAATGTTCCATGTGTGCTTGAAAAGAATATATATTTAGCTGTTGTTGGGTGGAGTGTTCTATAATTGATTTATGTTGTTGTTTTAGTCTTCTATATATATATCCTTACTGATTTTCTGCTAGTTGTTCTATTATTGAGAGTGGGATATTGAACTTTCCAACTATTATTATTGAGTTGTCTATTTCTCTCTTTAATTCTGTCAGTTTTTGCTTCCAATATTTTAAGTCTCTGTTATTAGGTGCATATATGTTTATAATTGTGATAGCTTCCTGATGAACTGACCTTCTTCTTATTATAAAATGTCCCTCATTGTCTCTAGAAACATTTTTTGTCTTAAGTCTATTATGTTTGATATAAGTATATTATCTCCAGCTCCCCTGCAGTTACTGTTTGCAAGGTTGAACCAAAGATGTGTTGCTTATAGTTGGATCTTGTCAGCTTTTAAATATATATATATATATATACACACACACACACACACACACACAACACCTACACACACATAAAATTTGGCAATCTTTGACTTATGATTGGAGTGCTTGATTCATTGATATTTAATGTAATTATTAATATGGTTGGATTTTCACCTGCCACGTTTTTATTTGTTTCTCATGTCTCATCTCTTTTGTTCCCCTGTTCTTCTTTTACTACCTTCTTGGTTAAACAAATATTTTTTAGTGTCCCATTTCAATTACATTTTCCCCCTATATTTTTGGAGTAATTTCCTGAGTAGCTGCTCTAAGGGATTGCAGTATACATCATAAATTATCATAATCTATTTAAGATTAGTATTAATACCAGCAAAATATAGAATTTTTGCTTCAATAGCTCCATTCTCTTCCCCTCCTTTGTGCTTTGTCATATATATTACATTTTTATGTATCATAAGCCCAACAATATAGTTTCATAATTATTGTTTTATAGATTGTCTTTTTAATCAGTTAAGAGAGGAAAAAAGAAAAAATATTTTTACTTTCTTTTATTTTTACCTATATATACTGGTGTTCTTTATTTCTTTGTGTGAATTTGAGTTATCTGGTATCATTTCCTTTCAGTATGAAGGACTTCTTTATATTCCTTGTAAGGCAGGTCTACTAGAAGCAAATTCTTTCCCTCTTAGCTTATCTGGGAATGTCTTTATTTCACTTTCATTTTTTTAAAGGCAGTTTTAGATTTAGAGAAAAATTGAGAAAATAATACAGAGAATTCCATGTATCTCTTCAGAGTTTCCCTTATTATTAATATATTACATTAGTATGATTCATTTGTTACAATCAACAAACCAGTATTGACACATTATTAACTAAAGTCCATAATTTTGGACTGAAGTCATAATTCCTTGTTTTTACCTAATGTCCTTGCGTTGTTTCAGGATCCCATCCGGGTACCTGATTACACTGTTGTCATGTCTCCTTAGGCTTTCTTGGCTGTGACAGTTTCTCAGACTTTTCCTTCTGTTTGATGTTCCTGACAGGCCTGAGAAGTACCAGTCAGATATATTATAAGATGCTCCCCTGTTGGAATTTGTCTGATGTTTTTTCTCATGTTTACCCTGGGGTTATGGGTTCTGAGAGGAAAGATCACAGAGGTAAAGTACCATTGTCATCATATAATTTCAAGGGCACATACTATCAAATGATTGATGACTTAATGTTGACCTTGATTACCCGGCTAAAGTAGTGCTTGTCAGGTTTCTCCACTGTAAAGTTACTCTTTTTCCTCATTTTCCATGCTGTGCTTTTTAAAAGTAAGTCTGTATGTGCACCCCACACTTAGGAATGGAGACTTATGCTCCCTTTCTTTTAGGATGAATATCTACATAAATTATTTGGAGTTTTTTTTTTTTAAAGATTTTTATTTATTTGAGAGAGAATGAGAGATAGCACGAGAGAGAAGAGGGTCAGAGGGAGAAGCAGACTCCCCGCTAAGCAGGGAGCCCGATGTGGGACTCGATCCTGGGACTCCAGGACCATGACCTGAGCCGAAGGCAGTCGCTTAACCAACTGAGCCACCCAGGCGCCCTTATTTGGAGTTTTTATGCACTAGAGTTTATCACTTCTTCCTTGTTTATTAATTTACTCAGTTATTTATATCAAAATGAACTCAACAGATATTTATTTTGTACTTTGAGTTATAATCCAATTCTACTTTATTTTCTTGCTCCAGTTGTTCTAGTTTTGGCCATTGGGACCTCTTCACTTGGTTCCTGTGCCCCTTTAACATAACCCCCATCAATGTGGTTTTTATTTTTTATTTTTTTGGCACTTCCCTACTTTCTGGCACTACAAGATGCTTCAGGTTCATCTCAAATATGTCCTGCCCCAATCCTAGAATCTGCCATTTCTCCAAGGATTTCTGGTTCCTTTTAGTGAAGAATAGTATTAAAAAGCAAAGTCTGGTTGCTAGGAGGGCTCATTGCTACTGGGGTATCATTTCTGTTCAGTTCTCCCATCTGACAGAGCAAAAAAAATGTTTGTGTATAGAACCAATGTGTATACACTTATCTATAAATCAATCAATCAATCAAATCTAACACTTTAAACATAAGTTCATACTGATTTCTCTAACTCTAATTCATTATCACGCACATGGATCATTTTAGTTTCTTCCCCTTGCTTATCTATAAATTACAACTCAATGAGAAACTTCCTCCTACCATCTGTTTTACTTAATTGTTCAATTCCAGTATACATGCATAGCAGTATCAGAATTATTAACCCATACCCCAGTGAGGAATAACTTATCAACTAGGGTAAAATACTTACACGCAGTTCCCTTTGCCTGCAGTCTTACAAACTCCATTTCCAGTTACTTAGGTCAGCACTCTGCCCTCCCCCTTCATTCCTTTCAGTGAGGTTGTGTCATACATTTCTTATACAGTTAGACTCTCTTATCACAATCTACATTCTTTCCTGGGATCCCCTGACCTCCTAAATGGGTATTTAAAAATTTTTGCATTCAGGGCGCCTGGGTGGCTGAGTCGGTTAAGCATCTGCCTTCAGCTCAGGTCATGATCCCAGGGTCCTCAGATCGAGTCCTGCATCAGGCTCCTTGCTCTGCGGGGAGCCTGCTTCTCCCTCTCCTCCCCACTTGTGCTCTCTCTCACTATCTCTGTCTCTCTCTCTCTCAAATAAATAAATTAAAATCTAAAAAAAACAATTAAAAAAAATTTTTGCATTCATGAAGTTTCACTCTTTGAGCTATAGAGTTCTATGGGATTTGACAAATGTATCTTGTCATGTATCCACCATTACGGTATCATATGGAATAGTTTCTCCATCCTAAAAATCCCCTGTGTTTCACCTATTAATCCTTCCCCTTTCTCCCCAAACTCCTGATAACTACTGATTTTTTTAATGTCTCCATAGTTTTGACTTTTCAAGAATGCCATATAATTGGAATCATGCAGTATGTAGCTTTTTCACACTGGCTTCTATCACTTAGCAATACACATTTAAGGTTCCTCCCTATCTTTTTGTGGCTTAATAGCTTATTTCTTTTTACTGCTGAATAATATTCCATTGTATAGATTCACCAGTTTGTTTATTTACCTACTGAAGGACACTTGATTGCTTCCAGGTTTTGGTGATTAAGAATAAAGTTGCTATATATAAACATTCTCATGGACATAAGTTTTCAAATTAATTAGGTAAATGCCTAGAAGCATGATTGCTAGATCATACGATAAGACTATATTACTTCATAAGTAACTTTGTAAAAAACTGCCAAACTCTATTCCCAAATAGCTGTGCCATTTTTCATTCCCACTAGCAACAAACAAGATTTCCTGTCACTCCATGTCCTTGTTAGCATTTGGCATTATCAGTTTTTTGGATTCTAGCCATTTTCATATATGCATAACAGTATCTCATAATTTGCAATTCTCTCTCTTTTTTTTTTGTTTCAAGTTTTTAATTAAATTCTAGTTAGTTAACCCACAGTGTAATATTGGTTTCAGAAGTAGAATTTAGTGATTCACCACTAAATATAACATACAGCACCCAAGTGCTCATCACAAAAAGTGCCCTCCTTAATCCCCAAGACCTGTTTAGCCCATCCCCTGCCCACCTCCCCTCCAGCAACTCTCAGTTTGTTCTCCATAGTTAATAGTCTCTTATGGGTTTGCCTCCCTCTTTTTCTTTTCTTCCTTTCCCTATGTTCATCTGTTTTGTTTCCTAAATTCCACATATAAGTGAAATCATATGGTACTTTTCTTTGTCTGACTGACTTATTTCGCTTAGCATAATACACTTCGATTCCATCCACGTCATTGCAAATGGCAATATTTCATTCTTTTTGATGGCTGAGTAATATTCCATTATATATATATATATATATATATGTATATATATATATACACCACATCTTCTTTATCCATTCATCAGTTGATGGATATTTGGACTCTTTCCATAATTTGGCTATTGTTGATAATGCTGTGATAAACATCATAGTGCATGTACCCCTTCAAATGGCTATTTTTTGTATCCTTTGAGTAAGTGCCTAGTAGTACAATTGCTGGGTTGTAGGGTAGTTCTATTTTTAACTTTTTGAGGAACTTCTATACTGTTTTCCAGAGTGGCTGCACCAGTTTGCAATTCTCTAATGACAGACAATACTGAGCATCTTTTCATATCCTTAGTTGTCATCTCTATGTCTTATTTCTTACCTTCATTTTAAAAAATAATTGTGCATGTATGGTACTTTGAAAAGAGTTATTTCAGGGAATGGATATAATAGACATTCTGTACCACATTTAGAGAAGTTGTGAAAACACATGCATTAACTATGGATATATGAGTGTTCACTGCAAGTTCCTTTGCAGGAGTGTTATTTCAGTGAATACTGAAATATATTTAGAGAACTGTTTAAAAACACATGTAATAAGGATGGTTACAAGAGCTGTATGTGCATACTACTTTGAGAAGAGTGTTATTTCAGGGAATGGATGTAATAGAAATTCTGTAATACATTTAGAGAAGTGTTAAAAGATACATGTAATGAGGATGGTTATGAGAGTTGCATGTGCATGCTACTTTGGGAAGAGTGTTATTTCAGGGAATGGATGTCTTACCTTCATTTTTTGAAGAGTAGTTTCCCTGGATATAGAATTCTTGGTTAGCAGAATTATTCTTTCAGCACTTTGAATTTGTCATTTCTCTGTCTTCTGGCCTCTATTGTTTTTAATAAGTAGTAAGCTGTTAAATTTACTATGGTTCCCCTGTACTTTGAGTTTTGAGTCTCCTTTGATTGTGATAAGTCATTTTTTTCTTTTTGCTTTAAAGACTCTTTGTGTAGCTTTCAACAGTTTGACTATGATGTATCTAGGTATGGATCTTTTTATGTTTATCTTACTTAGAGTTCAGTGAGCTTCTTGAATGTGTAGATTAATGTTTTTCATCAAGTTTGAGATGATTTGGCCATTATTATTTCCTCAATATATATATATATTTTTTAAAGATTTTATTTATTTATTTAATTGACAGAGAGAGAGACAGCGAGAGAGGGAACACAAGCAGGGGGAGGGTCAGAGGGAGAAGCAGGCTTCCCGCAGAGCAGGGAGCCCGACGTGGGGCTCGATCCCAGGACCCTGAGATCATGACCTGAGCCGAAGGCAGTCGCTTAACCAACTGAGCCACCCAGGCGCCCTCCTCAATATATTTTTTAAGATTTTATTTATATATTTGAGAGAGAGAGCATGAGTGGGGTGGGGGGGTAGAGGGAGAGAGAGAAGCAAATGGCCCCCCCTGAGCTGGGAGTCTGACACAGGGCTCAATCCCAGGATTCTGAGATCATGACCTGAGCTGAAGGCAGACTCTCAACCGACTGAGCCACCCAGGAGCCCCTACTCCTCAATATTTTTAATGTCCCTCTCTGTCTCCTCTTCTTCTGGGACTTCTATCACTTGTACAATGGCACATTTGATGGTGTCCCACAGGTCTCTGAGGCTTTGTTCATTTTTTTTTTTTATTCTTTTTCCTCCCTGTTCTTCAGATTAGACAATCTCTACTAATCTAGTGTCAAATTTGCTGGTTATTTTCTTCTGCCATTTCAAATCTACTGTTGGGCCCTTTTGGTAAATTTTTCATTTCAGTTATTGTACTTTGCAAGTCTATACTTTCCACTTGGTTTTTCTAATTTCTGTCTCTTTATTGATATGCTCTATTTGATGATAATTGTCATTCTATTTTTCCTTTATTTTAAAATTTGGCTTCTTTTAGTTCTTTGAACATAGTTATAATTCTTCTTTCAAAGTCTTTTTCTGATAAGTGCAACATCTCCTCCCCTCCCGATCCCTGAGACAATTTCTATTGACTGATTTTATCCCGTGTATAGGTTATACTTTTCTGTTTCTCTGCATGCTCCTTTTATGTTAAAAACTGGACATTTTAGGGGCACCTGGGTGGCTCAGTCAATTAAGCACCTGACTCTTGATTTCAACTCAGGTCATGATCTCAGGGTTGTAAGATCAAGCCCCACATTGGGCTCCACACTGGACAGGGAGCCTGCTTGAGATTCTCTCTCCCTCTCCCTCTGCCCCTCCCCCGCCTAAAAAAAACTGGACATTTTAAATAACGTATTATAGCAACTTTATTTTTTTAATTTTTTTTTAGATTTTATTTATTTATTTGAGAGAGACAGCATGGGGGGGCGGGGCAGAGGGAGAAGCAGGCTCCCCGCTGAGCAGGGAGCCCAACGCGGGGCTCAATCTCAGGACCCTGAGATCACAATTGGGACCAAAGGCAGATGCTCAACCGACTGAGCCACCCAGGTGCCCCCTATAGCAACTTTAGACTCTGATTTTCCCTATAACCTCCAGGGCTTTTTTTGGTCCCTTTTTTGGTTTGCTTTTTAGTGACTTCCCTGGACTAATTCAGTGGAGTCTGTCTCCCCAACAATGTGCAGTCACTGATATTTCTGCTCAGTTATTCTTTCATTCTTTTTTCATTTTTGTTTTTATTTTAAGACCTGAATTCCTAGGGGTCACCTTTGGGTCAGCATAGCTTAGTGGTCAATAATTGGCCAATCATTAATTGATTCAGATTGATTCAGTAAGTCTTCTATTCTTTGCTAATGGATCTGTGTATGGGTTAAGGAAGTATTGTTTTAGACAATGCCCCTAAGCATGTTTTTTTCCCTGCTTTATTCCAGATCAAGTCAGCCCATTAGGCAGTAGAGCTGTCAAACTTCACAGCCTGCCTCACTTTAGTAGAACACCCAGGCCACTGGGTGGGAGAGTTAGAGACAGAAGAAGCTCCAGGCTAAAACATCACAGACTTCCACTGTTCTTACTGAAGTTTAGGAATTTTTCTTGAATAAATGCTTACCAAATTGTTGTATGCCTTTGGTCAATTTCCAAAGTCTTAAAATGGTTGGTTTTGGCAGCTTTGTTAAGCTCTATCATTGCTTTTTTGGGGGAAAAATGTGCTTAGTTTCTCATTCAGCCATTCTAGAAATCCCTTCAAATGTTTGACTTTGTCTGCTCTTTTTTGACTCTTCTGAAGGAACCAAGATTAAGTGTGATTCAGAAAAGTGAGAAAAGAAAGGCAGAAAGCCAAGAAAGAAAATGGAAAGCACCAAGCATAATCAAAGCCAAAGGAAAGTTTATATCTAATCCCAAGCTTGTAACTGAAGGTAAATTGAGATTACAAATAAAGAATAAAGACTAGTTTGGAAGCAAAAGTTCTAGGTGATTGTGGGAAGAGTTATTCTTTTAAAAATAATACTACTTAATTTTGAGGCAAAGTTTTTTTTTTATGATTTTATTTTTAAGTAGTTTCTACACCCAATGTGCGGTCAAACTCACAGCTCCGAGATCAAGTCACATGCTCTACAGACTGAACCAGTCAGGTGACCAATGGGAGCCAAGGCTTTCTGATGAATCTTTATCCTATAGCTATCTATAAATTTTGGCTAAATTCCTTAGGCTTTAGCATAGATAGAGCACAACACAGAGCAAGAAATGCAATCTCATTATTTTATGTTTTATGGGTTTTTTTCCTTTAGCATCTAGAGGTACTCTATGGAAATCTTGGAAAGAAAGAGTTATAAAGCGACCTGCAACTGCTCATGCTTTAAGACCAGATCAGATAATTAGTGATGAATTTGCAACAAATACAAAGGTTTCAGAAATCCAAGATATGCTACAGGAACTCATAAACACTACGATGTTCAATAAATTGGAAAACAATGCTATTAAATATATATCATCAACGATAATAAACCTTTCCAAAGCTTTGAGTATACTAAATGATGAACTAAAAGTTTTTAACCTCCAGAGTGCCAATATGTATATAAGTGAGACAAGTGAAAAAGAAAAAGAGCTCTCCCTGAAGATAATGCGAGAGCTCAGTGAAAAAAATGAAATGCTTCAGCAGAAACTTCAAGATGCAGAAGAAAAATATGAACAATTTATTCGGTCCAAAGGTGTTGTAGAACCCCGAGTAGGTACAGCATTACCCACCTCAACCTTGAAAGTGTTGCCTGAGCTTTCTTCACAATCATCCAGTAGCAAAGCTGACACAGAAAACAGTATTGATGATATTTTGGTTAAAGAATTGGAAAATATTATAGATGAGACCCAAACAAAAGAGACCAAAGGCCTGGGGATCAAGTGGGACTCAGCTATTTCATATATAGCCCCAGCTGAAATGACTCCAGGTTTAATTGAAGAGCGATATCCTTTACTTGAAAAAAAAACAAAAGAGTCTTCTGAAGATATCACTGAAGATAAGATATCACTGAAGAAAGGTGATGTCTATCAAAAAGATGGGACTGACCAGTATCAATCACAGAATAAACAGCGAACTAAAGGCCCATATATGCATGAGACCTCTGGATTAAATGTGAGTGATGATAAAGGTAAGGAGAGAGACTCAGAGACCAAACTTGATTACCATTTGGAGCTACAATCACTGGAAAAGAAGAGAAAAGAAATAAAATCCATTTCTGAAGACAAATCAAAGTCATCCACTGAATCAAGAAGTCAACATGTTCCTGCTGGTTACCCTTCTACCGACACAAAAAGCCAAGGTGGCAGAAGTGGAACAAGCAGTATATGGGAACAATTCAGGAAGCTCAAGCCTGAGTATTCACGTGACAAAAGCCAGATTTCTTCAGAGAATAAAGAGGAACCCACCACTGAGTCAATGGACAAAGAGAGCAAAAGTGAGACGAGCAGCCAAGCAGAGCAATTCGGGTTAACCCAACTTGGTTATTCCTCTGAGAAAGTGAAAACAAAAGGAAAGAAACACCACGTCACTTCAGAAACCACCACAAGCAAACAGAGAAAAACTGAAGAGGACATATTAGTCCTCACCAAGAAAGTCAAGTCTCACGGACTTGTGAAGCCAAAATCTAGGGTAACAGAAGAGACTTCAGAATCTACCAGAGTTCTGGGAAGTCCAGATGGCAAAAGTGAAGAGAGTAACCTAGAAGAATTTCAAAAAGCCATAATGGCTTTCCTAAAAGAGAAAATTGATAACATAGGAAAGCCTTTGGATAAAAAGACTGTGCCAAAAGAGGAGTTATTATTAAAAACGGCAGAGGTTGAAAAATTAGGAATCATAAAGGCAAAAATAGAGGAATATTTCCAAAATGTGGCTGAAACTGTGACAAAAACCTTGAGGAAATACAAAGATATAAAAAGTGCAGGACAAGTGGGAGAGAAACCTATGAAACGAAAAAAAGAAGTCTCATTTATGCCAGGATTGCATTTTCAGAAGCCCATTAGTGCAAAGACTGAAATTAGCACATTACTGTCATCTAAGAGCATGGACCCACTAACTGACAATTTAATACAAATGATCTTGACTGAGATAGAAGGGGAAAGAGATGCTCCAGTAGCCTCAACAGTAGGGAGAGACCACAAGGAAGAGGAAAAACAAAGGCGGGAGGAACATTTGCAAGAAGGTCAAGAAAAAATATTTGGTAAGGGTCTCAAACACCAGTTGCAAGAAGGGAGTTTCTGGAAGAAGGGCTATGAGATGATAAATAAAAAACTGCTGGAGGAAGAGTCATGGCTCCAGATGAAGGAAGGAAAGCAAGGACAACAGAAGCAGAAACAGAGGCAGGAAGAGGAAATGCGGAAGGAACAGCAGAAACAGAGGATGCAAAAGCAGACTGAGCAAGATGAGGAGCAAACACAAAGAGAAGAGGAAGAAGATTATCAGAAGTTAAAACAGCAGCAGCTGGAAGCATGGAATCGAAAAATGGAAAAACAAGCGGTGTCCCTGGAGAAGGAGAAGGGACAGCAGAAGAGGCATGTTCAGAAGGAAATGAGACATCAGGAGCTGGAAATAAATTGGGAGAAAGAGGAGAAGCAAAGGCCAAGGAGAAACGTAGAGGACCATGAAAGGCAGAGGCAGAAAAAAACAAAGGATCAGATGAAGATAAATGAGAAAAACTCCGAAGAACATGAAAAGATGTTCAGCCAAACTTCAATGACATTGTATCCCCGGTGGAACACCATATCAAAAGTAGCATCCCAATTACACCAAAGAAAAGAGTTCCATGGGCATCTTAAGGCATTAGATATTCTTGCTGATGGAAAGCAGCCTATACCAACCACTCCTCCCTCTACACAATCACCCTCACCTGAGGCCCTTCCACTTTCTGGACAGTATCCCACAAAGTTCCTCACTCTAACTCCTCAGCAGGCTCAGGCACTGGGGATCACTCTCACCCCTCAGCAGACTCAGGCACAGGGGATCACTCTCACCCCTCAACAGGCTCAGACACTGGGGATAACTCTCACCCCTCAGCGGGCTCAGGCACAGAGGATCACTCTCACCCCTGAGCAGGCTCAGGCACAGGGGATCACTCTCACCCGGGAGCAGGCCCAGGCACAGGGGATCACTCTCACCCCTGAGCAGGCTCAGGCACAGGGGATCACTCTCACCCCTCAGCAGGCTCAGGCACTGGGGATCACTCTCACCTCTGAGCAGGCTCAGGCACTGGGGATGACTCTCACCCATGAGCAGGCTCAGGCACTGGGGATCACTCTCACCCCTCAGCAGGCTCAGGCACAGGGGATCACTCTCACCCCTCAGCAGGCTCAGGCACTGGGGATGACTCTCACCCCTCAGCAGGCTCAGGCACTAGGGATCACTCTCACCCCTCAGCAGGCCCAGGCACTGGGGATCACTCTCAGCCCTCAGCAGGCCAAGGCACAGGGGATGACTCTCACCACTCAGCAGGCTCAGGTAGAGGGGATCACTCTCACCCCTCAGCAGGCTCAGGCACTGGGGATCACTCTCACCCCTCAGCAGGCCCAGGCACTGGGGATGACTCTCACCCCTCAGCAGGCTCAGGCACAAGGGATCACTCTCACCCCTCAGCAGACCCAGGCACATGGCATCACTCTTACTCCTGAGCAGTTCAAAGCACTGGTGGTTACCCTCACCCCTGAGAAATGCCAGAGCTTGGGTTTCACCCTCAGCCCTGGGAAAGTTGAGGCATGGGGGTCTCCTCTCACTGTTGCACAGGCCTGGGAATTGGGGGTTCCTATTACTCTAGAAAGTGCCCCAGCATCTGCTCCTATTGCTGAGAAGTCCTCTGTATTTGAGGTCTCTTCTACTCCTTTGCAGATATCAGGGTCTCCTCTTTCCCAAGACCCTGGGAAATTGCTAGGAATGAGAATTCTTTCTGACCCTGGGAAGCTCCTGGCACCACAGACTTTTCCTTCCTCTAAACAGACCCTGGTTTCTGAAGGTCAATCCACCTCTGTTCAGTTTGTAGCACCAGAGGTCCCTCTGTCCCCTGGGAAGCTTGCATTGGAGACCCTTCTTAGTTCTAGAAAGTTCTTAAGAGACTCTTGGACCCCTCAGCTACCTCTGATATCAGAGGCCCCTCTTGCCCCCAGGCAGCCTCTTGTATCTGGAGTCCCACTCTCCTCTGCACAGATTCCCAGTCTCTTGGCTCCTCTTTCCCCTAGGAAGCCCTTGGTTTCTGGGACCTCTTCTGTCCTGGAATCTAGACCCTTAACACTCTCTGAGCAGCCCCAGGCATTCCAGCCCCCTCCTACCTATGAGCAATCTCTCTATCTACAAGTTCCTTCTACTCTTGGGCAGCATCACGCTTCCCCACTGTGGATCCCTCCCACCCCTGGGCATCCTCCAACACTATGGACCCCCCCAATCCCTGGGAAGCCCCAGAAAGATATGTCCTCTTCTATATCTAAGAAAAGTAAGGAAAGATTGGCAATTATTTCTTCTCTGAAATCTAAATCAGTCCCTTTTACTGCTAAGGACTTCCAAATATCAGAGGTCTCTGACACTTCTGAAGAAATCCAGACATGCCATGATCCTACTGCCATGGAACAATTGAGAACATTTCAGTCCTATCTCACCGATTGCAGGACACCAGTATCACAAACCCCTTACATTGGTGGGAGGGCCCTTCCCCCTCTCATGAAGCCTCTTACTACTAAACTACCCGAAACGTCACAAATTTCACCTTCTGAATGGGATCAGAAAACCCAGTTCCCCCCTATAGACAAGTCCTGGATACTGACTTCAGATTCAGTTACCAAGAAACCTAAGATGATGGTGTCCCCTTCCTCTCCCCAAGAGCTCAAAGAACAGAGGTATTTTGTTGATGTGGAAGCTCAGAGAAAGAACCTGATACTCTTAAATCAGGCCACAAAATCTTCTAGACTGCCTTCACAGCTACACGCAACAGCTAGGAATCTCATAATTGAAACACTTCATATGGACACAGTTCGGCTGGGATACCTATTTCGCAAGTACATTGCTTACAGGCTGATCCAGCGAGCAAGGTAGATGTAAATATTTAATGTCCAGTTTTCTGGTTTAGTCCTGATTTCAAATATCCTCTCTTCATTGTCCTATAAGTATGTACATATCTGTCATATTAGATGTTCTAGAATATTATCTTATAGAAGGTCTGTGGTATGAAGCCTATTTAAGATACCAAAAGGAGATAAACTTTTTCAGAAATAAAAAATGTCATATAACATGATCTATTTCATCTATTTATATCTCTAGCTAAGATGTATTTTGTGGATCATGGTTGATCTCCAAAATACCAACTTTAAAAGCTTGCTTCCAATTATTCTAAACTTCTTTTTTTTTTTTAAGATTTTATTTATTTATTTGAGAGAGAATGAGATAGAGAGAGAGAGCATGAGAGGGGGGAGGGTCAGAGGGAGAAGCAGACTCCCCACTGAGCAGGGAACCCGATGTGGAACTCGATCCCGGGACTCCAGGATCATGACCTGAGCCGAAGGCAGTCACTTAACCAACTGAGCCACCCAGGCGCCCTCCAATTATTCTAAACTTCTAAGTATTCTTTTTTTTTAGCTGTTTCTTTTTTTTATTATGTTCAGTTAGTCACTGTATAGTACATAATTAGTTTTTGAAAAATTTCTAAGTATTCTAAATTTCTTTCATCTTCTTGGATTCACCACAAGATGTATGATTCTTAAAATGGGAGATGGCAGGTTATATACAAGGTGTTGCCATGGCAACTTCGTTGCTGAACTGACATGGAGGAAATAGGTCCTGGTCTTGATTTTTAAAAATTGCAGAAATAGGGAACGTGACAATTGTCCTGCTACCCTTAGCACTTATGTTTGAGGTTACCAACCTATTATTTGGGGGCTATCTTTTACCTAAAATTGTAAGATGCCAAACGAAAACCTATACTAGAAAAGGTTATCATTAATATTATTTATTATTATTTATATATCATTAATTATAGGAACAACTTATATCATTTATTCAACAAACATTTATTGAATGTGGCAAGTATTGTATTAGAGTTCTCATGAAACTTATATTTTTGAGGACTGAATTAATTTGGGAACTAAGGTCTAGAACAAGGTACAAAACAGACTTATTCAAGATATAATCAAAACATTTATTAATTATTCATTCTTTCAAAATTTTATTTGAATTCACATTAGTTCACATATAGCGTAGTATTAGTTTAAGGGTAGAATTTAGTCATTCATCAGTTGCATACAACACCCAGGGCTCATTATATCAAGTGCTCTCATTAATGCCCATCACCCAATTACTCCATGCTCCCCACCCACCTCCCCTCAGTTTATTCCCTATATTTAAGTGTCTCTTATGGTTTGCCTCCCTCTCTGTATCTTATTTTTCCTTCCCTTCCCCTATGTTCATCTGTTTTGTTTCTTAAATTCCGCATATAAGTAAAATCTTATGGTATTTGTCTTTCTCTGACTGACTTACTTTGCTTAGCATAACACACTCTAGTTCCATCCACATAGTTGCAAATGGCCAGATTTCATTCTTTTTGATGGCTGGGTAATATTCCATCACACACACACACACACACACACACACACACCCATCTTCTTTATCCATTCATCAGTTGATGGACATTTGGGCTTTTTCCGTAATTTGGCTATTGTGATAATGAGGCAATAAACATGGCATGTGCCCCTTTGAATCACTATTTTTTATCCTTTGGGTAAGTGCCTAGTAGTGCAATTGCTGGGTTGTAGGGTAGTTCTATTCTTAACTTTTTGAGAAACTTCTATACTGTTTTCCAGAGTGGCTGCACCAGTTTGCAATTCCCACCAAGAGTGCGAGAGGGTTTCCCTTTCTCTGCATCCTCACCAACATCTATTGTTTCCTGAATTGTTCATTTTAGCCATTCTGGCAGGTGAAGATGATACCTAATTGTAGTTTTGATTTGCATTTCCCTGATGATGAATGACGTTGAGCATCTTGTCCTGTGTCTGTTAGCCATTTGGATGTCTTCTTTGGAAAAATGTCTATTCATGTCTTCTGCCCATTTTTTAATGAGATTATTTGTTTTGGGGTTTGTTATTTTAAGTGGGCTCCATGCCCAATGTGGGGCTTAAACTCACAGTCCTGAGATTGAGAGTCACATGCTCTACCAACGAGCCGGCTAGACACCCCAGGTTCATTATTTTTAATAATATTTTGTACCTTATTTAGAAAGGCCCTCTCCACTCTGAGAAATATAAAAAAAATTCTAGGTTTCTTTTGGTACTTTTATGGTTGGTTATTAGTTTTTTTGTTTTACATTTAAGTCTCTGATTCACAACTTCCTGTTGAGAGATGGATGTGACTTTTTTCCACATGGCTACCCAGTTGCCCCATCACTACTTACAAAATAATCTACCTTTTCCCCTACGGTTTGAATGTACCTTCATCATAGATTCTTGTATCATTTAGGTCCATATATAGACTTTCCATTATTTTTTGTTGATTGCATAGAGATGAGTCATTTCTATTTTTTATTATTCACTGTAGTTTTATTATTATGATGTGGAATCTTTGTGATAGTCATTAGTGCTATTTGCCAAGACTTTTCAATGAAATTTAAGCAGAATTGATATATGTCATTTCTGTGTTGAGCTTGTCATTGTTAGTTTGAGACCCTCCAGAGTCTCCTTTTCCTCTGACATAACCCACATTGTTCAAGGTGATGTCTGTTAAGATAGCCTGTGTCCTTGAGAGTATACAATGAAGCTCACTCCCTAATGAACCATGATGGATTTGTAGTATGAGCAACAAGTAAAATTTTGTTGTTAGCCACTGAGATTTACATTCTTCTTTCTGAGAAAGTTGTATTTTCACTGGAATCCGCATTTTCAGTAAGCACCATCACCACCCCATCACCCCTGCCCAGATGATTCAGTCCAGGTGATCAGGGTCCAGATTTTGAGAAATGCTGGTATTGTAGAAATAGAGAAGATTTGGGTTTGCTTCAAAATCTGATATTTATTAATTATGTAACTTCAGAAAATTACTTACCTTTGCTCAGATTCCTTTTCCTCTCCTGTAGAACAAAGATGGCAAAACACTATCTGTTCAGAAGGCTTAAACATGGTGGTATATATTATTGTGAAGAGAGAGAGTATATTTTTATGATTGTTCCTCAAGATCCTATGCAACATATGGGGCACCTGGGTGGCTCAGTCGTTAAGCGTCTGCCTTCGGCTCAGGTCATGATCCCAGGGTCCTGGGATCGAGCCCCAC